ATTTAGGATATTTAAAATAACCTTATCTAGAACAGTGACTTCTATTTGTAAACACAGAAAAACTTCCTGAAGTTTGGTGAGTTAATCATTGGATTATGAATAAAGCAAACCAACTGGCCCAGAGACATTCTTTGCATTTCATCAACATGCAAGCAAACTTACTGCAATCTACTAATTACAATTTAAATGATCTGGAAAAAAAGAAAGAAAGAAAGAAAGAAAGAAAGAAAGAAAGAAAGAAAGAAAGAAAGAAAGAAAGAAAGAAAGAAAGAAAGAAAGAAAGAAAGAAAGAAAGAAAGAAAGAAAGAAAGAAAGAAAGGTTCCATAAAACTAAATGTTGTCCCTATCCCAACACAAATTAAGTTAACTTAACAAATCCAAGTGGATTGAACATAAAACAATGTTGTCCAAAATAATCACAAGAGTTCTGTTGTTTCAACTCATTTTAAAAAAAGAGAAAAAAAGAAAAAAAGAAAGAAAGAGGAAAAGAAAGAAAGAGAGAAAAAGAAGAATACAATTCAGTGATTTTTTTATTAAGTGTTTGTGAATCCAGGAAAGGCCTCAGATTTGTCATGGGTGTCCCACTACTAATGCCAGGAAAGACACACTTCCTGTCCTAATTCTCCTATAATCCCTCCATCACCCTCCCCCTCTTGAAGATGACCAGGTTGCTTTTGTATGAGCAATAAAAACACACATCCAAACGCACCACACTGGAAACACACCTTGAATCCTCTGAGGCCAAATACAAGCTTGTTTGCGCCTTTCACTTGTTTGTTTGTTCATTCAGTTTAATAGGAAAACATACTAAAACAGGAATTTCACAGTTTGAATAGTTTGCAGTAACATGCTAATGACAATGCTAAATTAATAAGGTAAATTGTGAATCATGTATGGTCTGATATTCTTTTGACTTGAAATTGATGTGAAATTGTAATAATTCCGATGACCTCTCAAATGACGATAACCATCATTCATCACAATTATGATGCAAAGCTAAATTATTGTGATTTTGAATACCCATTATTTAGTTACTGAAACAACTAAAATGATGTTTTTGTTGACTAAAACTATGATTCACAGACTTTGTCACTCAAAACTTGACTAAAAAACAGAATGTCCTGACTAAACATTATAAAACCCCAAAAAATAACATTTAAATCTGATTCAGATCAAAGGCCAGATCAACTAACAGATTGGGTCAATGTAAAACTACAGTCAACATTTATTAAAGACCTGCAGAGAAAAGTTAGAAATGAAAAGATGTTGAGCCTTTTTCTGAAGAAGATGTTTTTACATACTTGTAGAAGTTTCCCTTTCCATGGCAAAATGTATGTAATACTTAAGTGTTTACCCCAGGTAATATGATGCTTGATATTTTACTTATCAACCAACGTTTGACTAAACCATTATCTCATCATTTAAAAATTAAACATTAAAAGAATAGTTCACCCAAAATTGTTCCAAACATTTATAAATTTCTTTCTTCAGTTAATCACAAACCAATTTATTCTGAAAAAAACATTGGTAAAAAAGCAGTCACAGAAACTATAGGCCTGTCACAATAATCAATATCTTGACTTATCGTGCAATAGTTGGACCTCAATATTTGTTGAGCATAACAATAAAGCCATTTTACAATGATATTTACATTCTACCTCACAGATGACAAAGTTTAAACTTGAGCATTAACTTAATAAAACATTGTGTATAATAGGATATTTACATTTTTAACATTAAATTATAGGATATAAATAATCTTAAGAATGATAAATATTTTAAAATGTTTAAAGCTATTTAAAGTATTTTTGGCTATTATTATGCTGTTATAGAATCATTATATATAATCAGTTGCATAAAATGATCACAAAATGACAATAATATAGATTATGCAACAATTTCTGTGACAATATATCACATAAAAAAAGTATGGAAGGCAAAGGCCGTTTTTGTGTTTTGTTTGTTTGTTCAACATTCTTATGTATATTTTCCTTTGTGCTCACCAAAAAAAGAAACAAACAGGATTGGAACAAGCAGAAGATGAGTAATTTTTTATTACTATTTTTTTATTTTATTTATTTTTTATTCTTTTAAGAATAATAAAAAATGATCTTAAGAATATCACAATCTTTTAAAATTTACTTAAAGAATATAATTTTTTTGTGGGCATTAATTATCACAAAAATGAACAAACTCACATTACAGCACAAAAGCAGTGTCTGAGATTTAAAAAGTAGTGTTGGGAAATAAAGTATGTCATTTTACCAACCACAACGTCACAGAAAAAAAGTTTCTAAAATAGAATATCCAACGCAATCTCAATTCATAACTTTTTGTTTCAGTGGCTAATTTGTATGAATTCGTACGATCTAATTCATACAATTTTTTCCGATTTGCTCATACCTCAATGATGGTTGGGGTTAGGGGCTGGTTAGGGGTGAGGTTATGTGCCACGCCTCCTTTTTAAAATCGTACATTTTCGTACGACTGAACTCGTACGAATTCGTACAAATTAGCCACTAAACTGACAAAACTAAAAATACTTATGTTTCCTCGTAAGATCAGGCTGGAATATCCAGACATCAATTACAATGAAGATTTTAAATAATTTTAAATTAATTTTAAATAACAATTTTGGGTATCATCTGGATCTCCCAACATTCAGATGGGCTTTAAGTCAATGGCCAATTTAAAGCCTTGTGATTTTTTGTTTCGTTCAAAAAATCCTTAAATTGCGTGAACTGTGGTCTTTTAGAGCTGCTAGTCAGGGCATTTCTGAATCAACAACAGCACGCATTTCACACAGGACATAAAGAGCAGTGTAAGATGCCAGTCACACACAACATGTCTTTGCATAAATGCAAGATGGAGCACTCAAGAATGTGTTTTTTTTTTTTTTTTTTAAAGGGTTCACCATGTTGCCATCAAATAAAGTAGTAGTCATGCAAAATTGCTAATGTAAACAGAAGCCAATGTTTGTTCTACATCGGAGTTCTTCTAATTAGTTCACTGCTTTGGAACTGACATTGATGAATGCTACGGTGTAAAAGTTGAAATCATTTTAGCACTAGAATTACAGAGGCAATTTTTACAATTGAACAACTGTTGAAATAAAATGTGCTATAATTCCCTGACTTTAACTAAATATGTGTATATAACATTCTAACAATTCCAAACTGAGTTCTGATTATTTATCTACCTAGAACTACCACAGTGATTAAAATAACCGCTTGCATTTTAGTGTCTCCTACTTTTCCCCTGTGACTTTAAATATGCGTCTCTGTTGCCGAGCAACTTCCTGATAACAAAAACTTTCTGTTAGCAAAAACATAACTTTACTTCAGACAAGTCTTTCAAAACAGCATATTCAGTGCTGCAAAAAAGCCTCCTCCCCTGCTTGTGAAATGAAAAAGAAAGTGAGGCATCAACATTTGTAGGTGGTGTAATGTAGACCAACTATACATTCATAGGCTATATTACCAAAAATATTGTATTTTATGGTGATGACTACAGCAAATATGATAGCTTAGTTTTAATATGTAAATAGATATTTACTGAAGTTTATTACTGCTGTCAGTTTAAAAAAAAAGAAGATACACACTGTAATATATGTCATACCAGACAATGCCACGAGCTTAGCATGACACATGTGAGACTTCATTCATGTACGTCATACTGTTGCTTTGCATTAATTTATGATAAACTAACTAGGGGGTCGAATTAGATTATTGCAGTGTTATCAATAAAACAATTACCAAATAAAAAACCCATGCTAGTAAACAAACGTTCTTTCTTCTAATATTAGCTGGTGGTTCAAGTAAGTAACAGTTTCAAAATGTAAATGTGAGCCACTTGTGTAAGCACAAATACTGTACAAAACCTTCTATTTTTGATAATCCTTTAAACCCCTGGCAAATCATTATCATTGTTCTTTGTTGTGGTGATTTGTTTTTTTTTCAGCAATATATTACAGGGTAGAGTAATACCCTTGGATAACTGTTGTTTTGGATACAAAGCCCTTGGTTGTACAACCACAGCAGAGCAAAAAAAGGGCTGTGGTGGTAAAGTACCAAGGTCTTTGTCAGGTTGAAGTAGTAATAACATGGTACTCTTCAGTGCAAACTGCAAACCATATACAGGTGTTACTTACATGGTATGCTGAAGTACCATCCAAAAACATGATATTATTATTATTATTATTTACTTCAGCCATTTTTTATTTTCAAAAGACTATTTTTGAATTTGGTCCACACCACAATATTTATGATTTACAAACTTCAGGCAAACATAACTTAATACTGAAAGATTCAATACAGCTTCAACCACTTGTTTGTCATTTAGGAAAACTTTTCTGATGTTGCAATTACATGATTGAGCAAAAGCTTTTTTTATTATTATTTTTTTATTGTCGTTTAATTATTCCAGTGTGTGTAAAAGTAAATTAATAAATATTATTATAAAGTTTGTGCATGTATTCACTCTCAGATCATTTACGATGTAGATGATTATTTTTTTAGTGGATCATTAAACAGTCATTTTACCTGAAACCATGTTTCTTATTCTTAGAATGTAAATCAATGTGTTTTTGTGTCAAAAAACATATACACGTAAAACAAATTGTTACCCGTGGATCCTGGCAATAAATTGAGGTCTTATGAAGAAAAACTCTGAATTACATCAAACATTTAGACAAAAATATTTTCCTTCCTCCATTGTCACAGCTTCAGCAAGTGTGTCAAAAAAGATTATGCTCATGCTAGCTTGAAAGGAGATCATTTTACATTTGTTGTATTTTCTTTTATTATTTGAACTTTTAAAGCGCTGCCAGCTGCAGATTTGCATAATATGAATAAATAAATAATAAAATAAATACAAATAAATCCTAATAATAAAATAACTATAATGATATATTTATTTATTTATTTATTTAGATGGTGATATTTATTATTATCTCTATACAAGTGATATAGATTTTGATGGAGGAATAAAACCAGCCATACCTACAACCTCCTCAGGGTCCTTCACCACTATGTGTGCGTTCAGTTCCTGAAGCTCCTGGTGCAGCTCCTCCACCTTCTTGTTGGACTTTTTCAGCATGTTGTCCACATACGCCAGACTCTTCTTATCAGTAGTGACCTTCCTCAGGTTCTCGGCTCCTTCTTTGATCTTCAGCTCTTTGCGGATCTCTCGCTTTATCTGATCCTTGATTTCATCCAGGTTTTTTTGGACCATCGTGTCCGAGAAGTCCAAGTTCTGGTCGAAATCCAGCCGTCCCGAAACCATCGGACCCCGAGCATCATTCTGAGCAGTGCGAGAGACAAAAAGATAGCAGAAATGTTTACAATTATCCGAGGCATTCAATGACATGCAATGCATCCTGGAATGCAGCAACATTCTCAAGACGCAACGCAATGGCAAATTCTCAGAGTAATAAGTGGTTTGCATTCTGTGAGTAATATCTTTCGATGCTGAAGAATGATGGGAATTCACTTTCGCATACACAGTGGTGGTGCATACAATGAGCTGGTTCAGGTTGTTATGCAACAGAATAAAGCACTAGTTAATCAGCTTGAGGAGGCCCAGACATCTCACAAGAACAATGCAACACCTTTACAAGCACAAGGTCAATAACAAACAGTGAACGCACACACACACACCACACACACACCACATAGAGTTAAAAGTCTGTAAAAACTTTTAGAAATTTACTCAATTATTTTTATTTATTTATTTTTACATTTTATGGCTCTAAAAATGTCATTAGGTTAAGCCACCAGAAATAAGAATGAATGGTATTATTTAACATTTCTTCATTGTGTTGAACACTAAAGAATATACTATATTTGGTAGAACGTTCTTGGCAAACTATACCTTTAAATACGTCACACTGAAGAAGAAAACAGTAAATGCTGTCTCCTATCATTTCCAGCAGACAAAAAAAATGTTTTTTCTTGGTAAATTTTATTTCTTTGATTTTGACTGTAATTCTTTAAAAATGTTAAATGTACTAGAATAAATGCTGAAATATTTAATGTGAATGTGTTTTAAACATATTTACTGAAAAAAAGAGGAGACTTATTACTGATATTATTACTATCACTGTTGCCAATGTGTTGCATTTAAAATGCTAATGTGCTAGCTAGCTAATATGTCTGTAACAATAATCAATATGTTGACCTATCGCATAACACAAGGACATGACCTCAATCATTTTTGCCAATACAACATACATCCCCCATACATAAAAAACAATTCTAGCAACATTTTAAGTGATGGGCAACATCTCTATCTTTATTGGAGGTGTCAGTATAGTTTAAAAAAACACTACAGTATTTACTATAAATTACTTTAGTATATTTTCATGTGGGTATCTGACATCTGAAAGTAGATCTGGTAGTAGATAATCACAGCCTCTGTTACTTTTTACCTTGGTCTTTTTTAACATTTATTATTATTTATTTAGGATATACGTTTTCACATTCTAATTCCAATGCCTAATTAATAAATTGTTAAAATGGCTATAATTAAATTAAAAATACTTAAGAATAGAATAGTATGTGTTCTTTGGAAAGGTACACTTGCATTGTGAATGTATTGTCATTCTGGCTGTATATGATGAGTGGCACAAAATTGTCTTAAAATGACAATAATATCGTTAAATGCAATATATTTTGGTGAAATATGTCATACAAAAAAAAAAATAAAAAACAGATATCTTGACAGGCCTACTACAGCTAATGCAAAATAATAATTCAGATATGTGACAGAAATATATAAATGAGCAATATCACACGAGTAGCAGTGCGGTATGGCTGTATATTTAAAGCCATATCGCACTGCTACGAGTGTGATATTGCATTTATACAACAGTTTGACGGCATAATTGTGTATATAAAAACAAAATCAAACATGAGCCCCTTTCACACAGTGATACCGGTAAATATCTGGAAAATTTCCGGAACGACTTTACCGGTATATTCAAAAAAGCGCTGTTCACACAGGCGAGGACGTTACGGAAATTTTCCGGAAAAGAGCATTCACACATCCATTCCAAAATACCGGTAAATTCTGACATCATTCACCACAAATGAGCTTTAAACAGCTGCGCTTGTATTTGTAAAATTTGACTAAATTACAGACTCTGTGGATGATCAATATTGTGAACAACTTTCGCAGGATCACTTTCGCATGTCGAGATGTTCATAATATGTGCGTGTGCAGGCGCTCACGGGCACACGCAAAGCTTGAAGGTAAACAAACAACGGCTTATCATAAGCATCTCATTGATGATTATTTACACAGTTGGCATTAAGAAGAACATATAAACGTGATCTGACTAACTTCTAGCAGCTAAATGTGTCTGGAAAAATATTCAAAGGCTTTTATTCTCATAAACCGCGCGGACGTAAATGCGTCTGACTGTTGTGATTGGCTAAAGCAGATGTCTCCCGTCAGCACGTTCTAGACGTGCACGCGCTTATTCCGGCAATCTTCCTTCTGCATTCACACAGCGCAGCATTCCGACAAATTGCCGGTAATGTTACAACTTCTCTTTCCGGAAAATAGCCAGAACGAATTTACCAGTATTTTCAAAAAGGACCTGTTCACACATACAACCTTTCCGGAAAATTGCCAGCAATTTTTTCCGAAAAGGTCTGTATGTGTGAAAGGGGCTATGGAGAGTCTCAAAAACCCTTTTGTATGAGGAACTACTTTCTTCCGGATTCAAATCATAAGCTGACAGTTAAACAGTTGAGCGTGCATCTTTTAAAATTTAGATCTGTAGTGTCTGCTTTTTGCTGGCTGTATGTGGGCGGAGTAATACACAAAGGGTAAAGAGGCTGTAGGAGTTCTGATATTGCAGAATATCGCACGGCTACCAGCCAATCAGATTTGAGAGCCAGACAGAACCGTTGTATAAAACTAAATAAATGAATCCTCTTAGGCAGAGATGCCCAAACCAGAGCCTGCAGGCCCCTTGTATTCTTGTATGCCAGAGGGAAAATGATTGGGAAGGGTTGGGGTATGCCTTTAACAGTGATTCTGATTTCAATTTCAATGTAACCTTTTGTCTGTTTGTTTTATTTGTTGAGCTACAAAAAAAAAAAAAAAAATGAAATGAAATGTTTCAATTAAAAGTTGTAAATGAAACAGATTTTTAAATAAATGTAAATTATCACTTAACGTATAGGGGGAAAAGCAGAATACATCAGCGTGCAAATCAAGGCAAAGTTCATTAAAATAATATACATTTTCAAAAAATTTGAATCCATTAGTAAATAGGTTTGAAGTAATATTTAATTTTTATTTTTTAATTATATGAAATAAATTAGGAAATTACCCATGGCAACTTTATTGTTATACAGTTTGCTATATTTATCTTCGGCCCACAGCTTTCAATCAAGCTTGGATTTCGGCCCTTCATAAGAAAATGTTTGGGCACCCCTGCTCTAAGGCTTCCACATGTCACTTTAAGAGTGCTTAATTTAGTTACTTAAAACTGACTTCACGTGTATACTGGGTTGTGCTTTTGTCACATGACCTATTGATTTGGGCATATACCATTTCTTTTGCTAAAAAAAAAAAAAAAAAATATATATATATATATATATATATATATAAATATTCAATGAATGGAAATGAATTGACGCAGAATCAAAATACAGCTGAATAAATGCCACTATTGTCTTTATTAGAGCCGCTTACTAGGAAACACATGGTTTCAAAACTAACAAATTTTGTAACATGATCTTTTCATCCATACAAAGCTGCTTTGAAACAGTCTGTATTGTATAACACATTAAAAAATAAATAGATGTGACCTTTCTTTTAAAAAATGCTACGACTATGCTAAGCAATCATCTTGCATTAAAATGCAAGCATGTCACTGACCACAAAACAAATTCACCACTATTACACACATCAGAAGAGGATATTTGTTAACAGAATGACATCAAGGCAAAATTGCTCTAATTTACAACCATTTACACATTATTTACAACCATTAGGATGATTTGTTTCTATTCATCTGACAAAAGCCAGACACCAAAACAAGTTCAGCTGAGAATCATGTTCCACCTCGGGTCAGTCGAGTAAACAACCTTGCCAACCACAGCATAGCCTGCAGTTCTCAAAGTTCACACAAACATGCCCGCGTGGCGAATGAGAAGACCCCTCCTGAGAGAGATTTATGGACATACAGCATGTTATCAGCAGGGTGGGGTCAGAACACACAGCACACTGACTGAGGAGACCAACTGCTTCAAATCAACTAAATGTGGCCACACAGAGCGGAAAAAAGTGGTGTGATTTAAACTAGAGGCGTCCTGCAAAAGAGAGGAGTATAAATGTCTGAAAGGTCAACACAAGCTTTATAGTGCAACAGTCCATAAATTGTGAAGCTATAGGCCTTATCCGGAAGATGTAATACCAGGATGAGGCTTATTCTACACTAATCTGCATTTTCATTTCAAACACAGTCCACACTAGCAGAGTTATTCATTCACACTGAAACATACTAGAGTTGGAAGCTGTATCTGTATAAAAGTAAAAAGATAAACTCCAGCACTATAAGATGCTTAAACTCAAAGAGAATGTATTTGTTAACAGCATAATCAAAACATCTGTTTATATTTTTCAAAACAACTAGCCACAGAGTTAAAAAAAAATCATGCGATATATGGAAGTCACTAGGGCTGGGCGATAAAACAGTATATGTATTACCAAACACCATTGTAAATATATATATATATATATATATATATATATATATATATATATATATATATATATATATATATATATATATATATATTTTTTTTTTTTTTTTTTTTTTTTTTAAAGTTGAGTATGAAGAGCTATAGTTTTGTTAAAATGTGGCTGCTGAGCATGCGTCTTGGAAGGAATGCCAATAAGCTTAGGGTGTAAGTTTGTCATTTCCAATGCAGGTGCGCACACACATGGTGTGCAACCAGCGCAAACACATTTTCCAGGCGCACCTAGATAATGTCATCTGCGCACTGCGATTCATGCAAGTAGAACTAGCCAATCTGCTTCACACTATGCAATACACACATTTCAGTAACGGTACACAGTGCACCCAAACAATGCAGTGCTTTTTCATTTTCTTTATAAACTTATATTGGAGTGAAGCAATGGTTTGTCCATTTGACATCCTCTGAGAAAACAGTTGATGGTCCCTGGTTACAGAAAGACGGCAGAGGAGCATGAGTGCAGAGCGCAAAGCCCATTGAAATTGGTCAAGAAAACCACACACTCACACTTTGCACATGTGAGTTTTAGGTTGTCATCGCCACTTAACAACCACACACTCGAAAATGAGTGCCATATAGCAGCTGTGAGGAAATTGTAAATAATAATTAAAAAAAGATGCAAGGATGTCACCAGAGTGGCTTTTTGGTTTCTTTTCTTGTGCATCCCAGCCCCTAGCACTCCATATCCAGCATAGGGCGTAATGTAGTCATTCAACTTCACAATTTGTAATGTTGCAATATGTCTTTAATTAATGATGGTTAGTTCCTTTACTTAAAAGCTCAGATTTGATAACCATAATTTTTGCTGTTGACAGAGTTTGAGGTTTACTGTATTATTATTGTTTACACCTTAAAGTATGATTGGATTGTTCAGCATTTACACTTATGAGAGATCAGATATTTTTGTTTACATATTTTTGTTTTTGACTATTAAATTAAAACCATTTGCCTTAATATTGGTAAATTAAAATAAAGTGGTTAAAAAATCCTAATATTCATACATGTTTTTTTTTTTTTAAAGATATGGAACATGATATGTGACTGTATGAATTGCTGCTGTATCGCCCAGCCCTAGACATTTACAGTAAACAACATAATTTGTTGAAATTCTGTTGATTAAACTGCACAACTCAAGAAATAATGCTAATCAATTGGATAAGAGTTATCTCTATATAGAACAAAAATTATTGATTTTATTTTATTTGACATTTTTCTTTTTATGATAATAAAATGCTTGATTATGTGACATTTCTCCGTTAAGGATGTGATTGATGTGAAATTGCCAATTCTGTGACTTATTCTGTGACTTTAGTGAATCAAATAATTGTTTTTGAAATCGCTGGCAGAGATTTTTTGAGTATTTGTAAAGTACTGTAAAATACAAGCCTAGCCTACGTAAACAACTTAAAAAGGTTTTCGCTAATTTGGTGACAAGGTTGACGTGCATGAAATTGCTCAATATGTCATAAATACAATGGATATTTTCAGAAATCCAGATATTCATAAATTCTAATTGACGTTTATTAGTAATGCACTACATGTTCGGCAAAAATAACATGAACAAATACTCATATCTTCCAGTGCTAAAATGCAAAAAAAAAAATAAATAAATAAAAAATAAAATAAATAGAATCATCTTACTCTCTATGTATTAAATAAAAGTTCAATAAGATGATACGGAGAAACCAGATATAAAGTTCTACTACTGTTGTACTGTCAGATCATTTTATTTACAAAATATACCAATATGTCACTCACTTGTGTCAAAAGTGAACTTCTCTGCAAGAATAGATCTGTGAGTTTCTATTTTTACTGAATGTAAAATGACAAACAAATAAATAAGAGTGTCACACAGCTAAAAGTGTCATTTTCAAATACCACCACTTTCACAGGAAACAAAACATTAAATGTGTAAATAAATACTGAAAAGACTGTGTACCAGATAATAGAGAACCAGTTGTAATGTAACAATGAACCAGTTGAAAATTGAATCAAATCATGATTCAGATTCAGTAGAAGTTTATATGACTGAATATATCTGACCATCTATTTAGACTTCTTACCTCTGAACAATGTGTTAGAGTAGTGTTGATTAATCCACTACTGCTTTATTTACAGCTAAGAAAACACAATATCGCTGCTGATCATAAGGATTATACGCCATCCGTTGATTAATCTGATATATTACTTTTAGGGGTGTAACGATACGACAGTGGTGCCAAAAAAAAAACAAAGAAAAAAAGCCAGAGGATTTCTCTGATTTTAATTTACAGGCCCAATTATTAGTTAACAATAATAACTGTGCTGTGTTCTCACGGGTTACCGATATTGCACAGATGAAATTGACATATAACTTAGTATTTGCATGCGTCATCTTAATAGCAGTAACAGTCTTTTCATAAGCTGCAATATTAGTATCATCTCAGTGAATGCATGCTCTTTAGCGATGGTGAACGCTGGTGAATGCAGTATCAGCCGCACGACTGACAGCATTGTGATGATTAAATGAAGAATTAAATAACGTTAGAACATCTTGTGCTTAAAATGTGTAGATTCAGTGGCAAACACTGTTAACTTCCCTGAAAACTCTGTCCCACTGGCTTTAAGGTGAATGCTTTAGTAATTTTCATAGCTGACTTTAAACACTTGAAGTCTTTTCTCCACTCTTCGAAAAGTGTAAATGCTGGATTGACATTTATTACATGATCACTAATCAGATGTGCCATTATTTGTAACTTTAGGTGGTTTCTAAAACTAAATCTGTCAGTGTTGTTTTTATTCTCCTGTATCAAGACCCTTACGTTTTCATGGCTGTAGCTCCGTCAATGGAACTGAGTGATTGACAGCTGATATTAACCAATTTATTCGCATTCTGTTCTAGCGCAGTGGGTCAATAAAAAGAGCTTGAAGGCGGGGCAAGCAGTGTGTGCTTTGTTTACTGCAGCAAGTTGATATGTCAACTGTTTTAAACCATTCCTGAGCGCTGCTTTTGTTGTTTTCAGGTGTAAAGATGCTTAAATGCGTGAATGCCTCCTAATTCCGAGCTTGTGTTAAACATTATGCTGTAAAAACTGGTCCACGGCATATATTTTATGCACTCGCACAAATGCTCCCAAATATATTTTGACGTCGCATAGATACAATTTTAGGTGCATATGCGACCAAAATGGCAGGGAAGGCTAGCGTGTCACTGCATTAGGGATCCCTTGTTGAGCATTGTTGCACTGAAAACATTATATTTTGTACACTTATTCTCTTTTATCTTTTAAGATATTAGTCTGAATCGTTCGGTTTGTAATGCATACTGAATCGAAAGTCTCGTACTGAACGATTCAATACGAGTACACGTATTGTTAAACCCCTAATTATTTTTATTCATGTAACTTGTTTGATTTTGGCTTTGTTTTAAAATTTCAATTATATTTCAATTTCACAAACAAATGTGCAGCAATAGCTTAATAAAATGCAAGCTTTTCATTTATTGTAGCCTATAATGTCTTCAATCCCATTTGGTAAAAATAGCTGAACAGTCATGAGAAAAATAAACTGTGAATATCTAATTTGTGAATCGAATCATGAGATGAGTAAACAGTTACATTCCTAAGATCTATTTTTTTTTTAAAAGAAACAGATTCTATATGTGCACGCACAGTGCATTGGAAGCAATATTATACTCAGAAGTCTCTCAAAACAGTATTCAATCCACACACTATGTAACTGCCTGAGGTTTGCATCTATGCTGAAATGTAATATGAATGTCACAACTACATATGTTGTTTTCAAATACCACAACTTTCACATTCCTCAAAGCATTGTTTATAAATGGATCCAAAATACAAAGAATCTTCAACAAGCTTCCATTTCACAGGTCAAAAACACTCCGAGGGTCAAAAAATGAATAAAAAAATGCATTATCATGGTACTTGGTAATTAATGTAATAAAGACAATATTTGGTGCTGATTATTGTTATTAATCTCATTTTCAGTTGTTACATCCTCCCCAATGTAGTCTAATAAAAACAAATAAAGTGACACGTCTGTGCTTTTTGCGATATAACATTGTGTTATGATAAGGTTTATTTAAAATAAACATTACATTTTAAAATAAACTATAATAAATAAAAGCAAGAGCAGTACAATGTTTATCTAAATATAGTAACTAAAGGCATCTTTACACAATAAAGTGGCACAAAAATCAAACTGAAGCAGTATGGAATTAAAAAAAAATGTATTTACACAAAAAATTTTAATGCAGAATAGCATCTTTACACTGAACTCTGACCAGACACCCACCTGCTCTAAGGTCCTCTTAAATCGGCTGTGTAAAGACGACTAATTACAGTTACTCAAGTGCAATATATTGTTTAAAGTTAATGCTCTCATCTGTCTGTAACTGTGAAAAAGAAATTGACATTAAATAGGCTTATTTGGAATTGTATCTGGGTTTCTGAATTAAAACTGTGTCAACGTACTGAAATGCTACCCAAAAATTCAGACTACTACATGACAAAAAAGTCGAATCAAATATGTATACGTGTACCAAAACAATATAGATCTAGTAGTTCTTACCACAAAATTGATGATTCCAGCTGTGCACAAAGAGCTCAACATTGTTCCGTCTTGATAGCAAAAAAATGCCTCAGGCTGTCATAAGGATGTCTCTCGAAACATTACCACTCAAACAGTAAAACTGTAAAGCAACAGCGAGCTCTTCTAATAGAGCAGCCAGTGGATATGTGCAAACCAGTCCAGTGTTTAAGCTAGTTTTGGCAACGAGGAGTTCCAATCAAGGTAAGCCTGACATCGGATAAGCCGTTTGTTAAGCAATTGGTGAATGACGGCGACTCAGGCTGAGGTCATGGTGGTCTTAAAATAATGAGGGTCATAGACTTCAGTCATGCTGCAATTCCAGCTGCCTTAAAAAACCTCTTTCCTCAAATTCAACCAAACAAAACAACAAATTACTATTTTAAATACAGCCACATGCTGATAAGCAAATAATTTCTAGAAAAATTAAAAAAAGAAACCAACAGCCTAATGCAGTGCTCTCTACCACTCAAAAGAATGCATAAATGCCAGTTTTATGAATTTCACTAGAAAACAGGGCTGTTGTCTGTCAATAACCAAGGGCGGTATGAAGCAAACCAAGCAGCTTTCTGCTGGTCAATGCAGTAATGCAACCAATTAGACTGTTACAACATTTATGTCGTGAAATCTTTTACCTTCAAGCTCATTTTGAAAATATTTTAAAAGTGTAAACAAATGACACTTACACAATTTCACAAAACACATGACCATCTTTCACCTGTTAGCTCGTGACCACATAAATTGTGTTTTTCTTATTCCATTATGTGTCAAATGCTAAACAACCCCCTGTAATGTGACTTACAAGTAAGTGCACAACATTGAATAAAACAGATGTGGATGACAACTACATCATTAAATCAATGTTTTTTTTTTTTGGTGCAGGGTTGCTAATGAGAATTCAGACTTCATGATTTTAGCTCAAATTTTGACTCATTATCAAGTTTTGAGAAATTGCTAACAAATGTCTAAAATCACAGGCAAATTGGTGCTCGTTCACGTGAGTAACAATCACACGGTATGAACTATCAAAGACGCAATCTAAGAGAATTGCAGACACCCCTCAGATATGGCATGGTACATATCTCGATCTGTTGGCAATTCAAATCATGCCGTGTGACACGTGTTCTGATTGAAAATAACATTGGCATTTACCTACCAATGCCTTGGTATATGGAACCAATAGGTTTGACTAAACAATGCATAATATGATACAAAACAATCATTGAATCTATGATGAAGTTAGTCATTTATTGATTTGGAAACTTACATATTTAACAATACAATTAAAGGTGTGCAGGTGGGATGACAGGATTAAAAGCAGGTTTCAGCAATTGTTGAACGTTTAAAGATGAAATTTGCACATTTCAAATGTTAATCTTTCGAGACGGTCTCCTTCACAATAAACTATTTGACTGTGATGGAGAACGGAGTTACTGAGAACCTGCAGTCATGGAGGAGCTGATTTTTGGTGTGACGGGACACCAGGGCAGAAAAAACAGAGCAGAAAAACTGACCAACTTGTGATTTGATTGACAAAAAAAATAAATTAATTAAAAAAAACAAAAAAAACAAAATGAAAACCTCCTCTGATTTCTGACATATTGTAGGGAGAGAAAGGGAAACTACTATGGAGTATCTTTAAAAGCTTTGGCTGGCTGAACATGGAATGTAATGCAGCAAGCAGAAGTGCCAGGAACTAATGCTCAAGTAAGACGATGTTAAAAAATATGAGTCAGTGACTAGTCTGGGGTGGGCATCATAACTAACTGTACACAAATGTACATTCAAAAGAAAAGTAAGAAATAAAGAACAAAAGTACATGGCCATAACTCACATTTGGGATTTTCCTCCTGCAATAAATGCCCCACCCTGCCAGAAAGACCTGGCTGTGAAACAAATCCACTCAAGGAGAACACAGTGGCCACATTGCATAACAAACTCACTCCCACACAGCGGACAGCAGGTTGCCACATGGCTTCTGACACAATGGTGTTAGAAAGACCTTTAGACACTTTACCTGTAGAAAATTGAAGATGTGCGAAATGCTGCTTTTTACATTTTTGCCTCAACATGCATTTCTGCTGCAGTCAACTATGCTTCAAAGTGGGTGGGATCAACAATATATTGTTCTAGTTGTGCCAAATCAATCAATCAATCAATCAATTCATCCATCTATCTGTCTGTCTTTCAATCTATCCATCCTTCCATCTATAGATAATCAACTTGCATTATAATTTAATAAGTAGAGTCAAGATATTAGGTTTAACATATTTCGCATTTTTTGTTTGTATGAGGACTAAAAACAAATAAAAAGACAAACATTTTACTGTATTTTTAAAATACATTATTATAAAATGAGCTTTCCCCTGTAAAATACATTTTTTACTGACATTTTCTAGGCTTATGCTTTTAAAAATGGCATTTATATCGATATTAGAATGATATCAAATCAACTGAAATTATATACTGAAATAAATCAACAGTACTAGCCCTATGATTCCCAGATTTTGCTGAATTTGCAGTCTACATTGCAGAACCCAGTAGGGCTGAAAATGTCACTGAATTTGACATATTTTAGAAAAACACATACCCACGCAAAGAAGTGTCTAAGAAGTGTTAGAAAAACACACATGCACGCACGCACGCAAAGAAGTGTCTAAAAAGTGTTAGAAAAACACACACATGCACGCACGCACGCACGCAAAGAAGTGTCTTGAAAAATATCTAGTAACATATTATTTACTGTCATCATGTCAAATATAAAATAAATCAGTTATTAGAAATGAGTTATTAAAACTATTATGTTTAGAAATGTGTCAAAAGAATCTTATCCCTGTTAAACAGCAATTAGGGAAAAAATAAACGAGGCTATTAATTCTGACTTCAATTGCATACATGCATGCCTGCATACATACATACATATGCATACATACTTGCATGCAATCGCTGTATGAAGTGTGTGAGACTATTAAACTACAAAAATATTGAATGAATGGCCATTTCTCAGAGTGGTCATAAGATGCACTGCTGAATAATAGTGATGCAAACAGAGAAAGACTGAAAGCAACATTGCAAAGTGATTATTTTTTATTTTAAAAGTTCCTCTTTATAATAAAAATTACCACGACTTTAATATATCACTAAATTTCCTTGAGCAGGGGTTTTCAAAGGGGGTCTGGGCAGGAATTCCCAGGTGTCTGCAAGGGAGAACTAGCAGCCATTTGAAATAATAGCGTAAAAAAGCACAGAATCTTTTTAAAACACATGAATCTCTTTATTTATTTTATTAATTTAATAAAGTAAAACAGGACTAATCTAATGATCAACCAATTAGATAAGGTTAACGAATAAAATATTTGTTTTAACCAAGCGGCAACCTCCCGCTCTTCCTCAGGAAGCCAATAGGGAAGTAACTAAAACTGCAATTCATCCGAAATTCCGCTAGTCCTGGCCGCTCCTGGCTCCAAAACAGAGCAAATTTTAATTGAGCCCACTGTTAGAATGGCCAACTTTACAGCAGAAAAAAAAGTGTTTACAGCCTGGTACAAAAAAAATTTTTGGTTAATACAGCTAATATTACCCTTCATGACAACTGTGAGGGAGGTGAATTTTTTCATAACTCATCCGTTTCCTTTATATTAAGTTATATTAAGTTTGCATAATTAAGGGAGTGGCCACTTGAGTGACAGCTAGGTCTCGTTGGTTGCCGTCACGTCACCTCAGCTGAATCCTGCAGATTAGCCACTGAACTCGGCATATTTATCGTATTCGTGTTGTTTTATGTGGCTTTACACAGTCAACTGCCTTTTGGACTTGTTTCCTACAATTATTAGATGGCATGGCATGCAGAGTGAACTTAATTGTGCTCATAAACCATTCACGTGGCCTCCGTTTCCCATGTGAGTAAAGTTATATACTTATATACCATCTCTATACATGTATTTGTTTTATTTAAGATCATTTATCGTTTATATTTATATTTAGAGCTGTAATGCACTTCAGAATCTGACAGATTGATTAGCTGTAGGCTCTAGAACAGTCATCTGAAGCATACAGTGTTATGCTGGATTTCATCAATAGTCTTACATTAACTAACACAGACTATATCTGAAGTGTTCGGAAGTAATTTGCGCTTTCCTCCTGTTGAAAAACGTCATAAGAACAATGTTTAGTGGCTCAATGTATTACAGCAGTGTTTTTAAAAGTCTAAACACTTTATTGATATAGTGTACAACCAAGCACAAGTGGTCAGAATACAAACGAGTCACAGGTGATAAAGTATTAACCATTTCTCCCAAAGTAAAGTGTGTCTGAACCAGGTCCAAGCTAAATGCCAGCAGGTGTCTGTAGCTCTGCTTACTTTCCGCCTCTTTGCCCTTAATTGGTATCCCGCCGTGAGTGTGATGACGCGCAAACAAAATGGCGACGGTAATTGTGGCTTCTTTTGCGCTCTTTAGAAACCTATGGGTGACGTCACGGATACTACGTCCATATATTTTACAGTCTATGGTTTTAACAGACAAAAACATGAAAACTAATATAATAACAATAATATTACAAAATTATATTAAATGCATAAAAAGGCACAATGTTATCAAAATAAAAAATGACTTAAAAAAAAGTTAATTTAAAAGAATTCTAAATATTTGACACGTAATATTTTACACATTACAAACTGTGCCAAATTTTATTAATGTAAATTGTTAATGCATGCAAATTAAAATTAATAAATGCAAACAATGAAAACAATCCAATGAGAATGACGAAAAAAAAATCTATTAAACTTTTACTCAAAAAAAAAACTCTTTAAACATTTACAACATCACAAAATAATAATGTGTAATCCATTTCAATAATTTGCCATATTTTATTTCGTACCACGTTCTATAAGCCATGAGTTTAGATTTACTACTGTCATTGCAAAAACTACTCAAATGAGTTGAGAGAACAGCCACAACAAGTAAAGCCCTCAGTTACGCTAGGCCTCCATGACATCATCGATGATCGGTCAGTTCTCAGAGACTCCACCCACTACAGAGAGTCATGAATGAGCTCAGAGCCAATGAGTGTTTGTGCATCATCCTTTGGGCTTTATCTCTGAGCTCATCCTATTATGGCTTTACCGTGACTTTCAGGACCCACAGCAGTGA